CCCATCAAACAACCATCTAGAAGAATCCCTTGGGCGAAGCAAGAAAAAGCCTATAATGTTATAAATGACATGCATAAGCATACTAGATTTTAAGGATATTCTATACAGATCCGTTTTATGTTCGGTGGACGTCTTCAGGATGTAGTAAGGATAGACGAATGTCACAACTTCGTATATTCATAAAGCATCCACAATAGACATATGAAAAACATACGAATGGAATACATATAGGACATCTCATGAAGAATATATATTCATTGCATATATTGTATTTGCACATGATACGAAATAAATATTATTATTACAGTAAGGTCTGTCGTTTATTCTTCGTAATTAAACGTTATTTTGCTGTTCGCAACCAATTTGTTATTTTTATTATTTTTCTAAAACACTAGTTGAACAATTTAATTTTTCTGCATTTAGACCAGCAGCATCTGCAGTATAGAAACATATTAATCATCATCATCATAAGTCAGTCCTAAGACCGGCTGGACACGTACCTCTACTCTTTCCTATCCTGAGCTAAACTTCCCTAAAACTAGAAAAACCCGTATCTTTAACTATTTGCGAACAGTAATCTAACCTAGGTCTACCTCTACCCCTCCTTACTCCTGTTTTTGCCTCTAATATGTCTAATATGACTATACCTTCATGCATGAGAAGGTGTCCTACCAACTTATCTTGCCTATTTTTTAATGACTTCCATAGAGTCCTCCTATTCTTTCTAATACCTCTTCATTTCTAACCTTTTCTACCCACGTTACCCTCATCATTCGCCTATAACACCACATTTCAAAAGCTAACCTTTTCTTTTCCGCCTCGCCCACTGTCCATGTTTCGCATCCGTACAGCGCCGTGCTCCAAACATACACCTTTAACAACCTTTTTCGAATTTCTAAAGTAACCGTTCGCGAGCATAGAAGTGACTTCGTTTATTACAGGCGACATGACCCTGCGTTATCCTCTGCTTTATATCCCTCCTACCCCTTCCGTCCTGATTTATCTGACTTCCTAGATATCTAAAATCAGCCACTTCTTCTAATTTTTCGTTTCATCACTCTTTCCCTAGTTATTCTTCCCTTGCATACCAGTAGTTTTGTTTTACTTTTATTTATTTTCACACAGTACTGATCTATCAGTACCGCTTCCATTTTATTTAAACCTATTTCTAGGTCCTCCTTGCTAGATGCTAATACTGCTATATCATCTGCAAATCTAAGCATACTAATCTTTTGCCCTTGCACGTCTATCCCTACAGTTGTACTGTCTTTAATGATGTTGATGGCGTCTTCGTTGTATAGATTAAAAAGTAGCGGTGACAGTGTGCATCCCTGCCTGACTCCCTTCGTAATATTTACTTCTCTACGTTTCATCCCTAGCTCTATAACTGTCTGTTGCTCTTTATACAAACTAAGTATCTATCTTTGTAACTCATCCCTACATTTTTAAGTATATCTAACATCTTGTCCCATTTAACACTGTCAAAAGCTTTTCCTAAATCTACAACTCCCATGTACGCACCCTTTCCTTTTTCTATCGTTTTCTCTATTGTTACCCGTAAAGCTAGAATGGCCTCCCGCGTTCCTCTATCTCTTCTAAACCCAAATTCATCTTCCCCTAATAGTTCCTCCGACCTTTTTTCTATTCTCCTTTGTACAATTCTAGTTAAGATTTTTGACGCATAGTAAGTTAAGCTAATTGTTCTAAATGTCTCGCTATCTACCTATCTGCGCCCTCTTTTTAGGTAATGTTACTACTACCTCTTGTCCTGCATGTTTTAGAATTTCCCCCTGTACCCCATCTAGACCTGGCGCCTTATTATTCTTTAAATTTTTTAATGCTACATCGAACTCTTCTCTCATTATGGGATAATCTCCACACTATCTTCCTTCTCTAATATATCTCCTACTTCATGGCCTGCGTGCAGGTTCTCTAAATATTCTTTCTACCTACCTGCCTTTTCCTAATTTTTTATCAAAATGACCCCTGCCTCGTTTCTTATATTATTACTACTGTATCCTACATCTCTAAAATTCCTTTTAATTATACTATAAACCTCATCTGTTTTACCTACTTCAAACTTTTCTTCTACTTTTCACACACATCCTATCAATCCACTGTTCCTTAGCAGCCCTAGGTACACTTCCTAATTATTTCCCACTTTATAGCCTTATATCTTTTTTGCCCTTCTTCGTCTGTCCTGTTTTTGTATTTCCACCTTTCTTCTATTAATCCTACAACCTTATTTGTTATCCACGGTTTCCTACTTTCGTTTTGTTTAAGACCTAGTATATCTGTAGCTGCTGACTTTAGGCACGTTTTAATGCAGTTACATTCTGTCTCTATGTCCCTGTCATTCGTTTCTCCCGCTGCCTTTAATATTTCGTATGTCCTTTTACCTAGCCTATCACGCGTTTCGGTACATTTTAGATTTTCTAAGTCAATACGTCTCCTACCTTCCCTCTTTTTCAGAATTATCAATTTAAAATTGGTCTTCATAGCTACTAAATTTTTATCGCTATCTATATCTGCTCCTGGATAACTCCTACAGTCCTTCACTTAATTTTTAAATCTTTGCCTAACAAGTATGTAATCTAAAACTGATATCTCCCTAAATCACCTGGCATCTTCCACGTATAGCGCCTCCTAACGTGATGGTTAGATAAAGTATTCGCGACGGGTAAGTTAGGTATGTTTATCGTAAAATTATATCAGTCTGTCTCCCCTATCATTTCTATTGCCCAATCAAAAAGAACCTGCTATTACACCCACTTTACCTTCACCTATTACTGCTTTGAGTCTCCTAAAACTATTAGGTTTTCCTGTCCTTTCACTAAACTTAACACGTCTTCTATATCTGCATAAACCGCTTCTACGTCTTCATCACTGTAAGATAATGTAGGCATGTAAACTTGCACTAATACCGTATTTACCGGCTTCGAGTTTAATTTCACCATAACTATTAATAATTTTTAAAAAAATATTAGTAACCCATGATTAATCATATCTAAATTTTGTTTTATGGAAACTCACTTACCTGATTTTCTTATAGTATTATTGAAGAAAAATAAATTTCACTCATAAACATTTCGGGAAATCCCACATTCAGGTGGCAACCTGGCAAAACGTACCGATAATGACTATGATATATGGCTACTGACTAATCCAATTAATATTAATCGATTGGTAATTGACTTTAGAGTGTTGGCACATTAACACTGTTACAATTTAACGACGCAACGGGCGAAAGCAAATTCTTTAACACCGTTTTATAAAACAGTTGTAATATAATGACATCAATGATACTAACTCCATAATATAATATACACTTGCATATGTACCGACATTATAGTAGTATGTTATTTATTAATAATTTTATAATATATATACCTGATATTTGCTGATATCCACTGCATATCCAATGCACGTCCTATAAATACACCTATACACCGATGAGGATATGCATAGGTAGTATGTCCTCCAGCAATCCCTTAAGGAAATTGGGCATGATGGACGCAATTGGGACGTAATCGTACATCCATAGGATATTGTGTACTGTATGGAAAGTAGTTTATGAAATTCAAGAACCCAGAAGGACAGATTGCACGATTGTTATAATGACTTCAAGAACATAAGTTTGATATCGAGCATTTCTCACGCAAACAACACGGTAACACAGATGCACTATCCAAGAGGCGAAAAGAAGGAAGAGCTGGCATAGATCTGTTGTAATCTAACCACCGTTCAGCCTGAGGGTTCTTGAAAAGATAAGACATTAATCAAAAACCAGAGGAATGACGAAGATATTGACCCAATAATGAAATAGAAACGATAAACCGGAACCTCAAAATCATCGTGGACAAATATGTAAGCATCCTAAGTCAAACAACGAAAGGTTATTGGGCGCAATGGATTTTCCTTAACAGAATCCACTACATTTTAAAAGGAATATGGGAAAGTCCAAATGGAACCAGAAACAAGCTCGAGGTGGTACTTCCGAAGAAAAGAATTTTAGAAGTCTGAGAAGCAGTCCATGGCGAAGGACATTTGGGCGTTACAAAGGCTCTAGAGATGATACATGAGCAATTTTATTGGTCACGAGGTAGAAGCAGTATGGAATACCGGTACCAGGAAATGGGAATGCCATTTGAGAGAATCGCAGTCGACGTAGCAGGACCATTCCCAATGACAAACTCCAGTAACCGATACATATTGGTAGTCATAGATTACTTTAGCATATGCGGTATCGAACCAGGAAACACACACCGTTGCTGAGAAGCTTGACAATGTTTGAGTACGTGAAAATATTTATGAATATGCGTCCTGGCTAAAAGCACTGTACTTATTACTCACTATAAAATCGTAATTCTTTTTATGCTGAGTGACATACAAAGTTTAGATCGACATCACAATCATAACAGATTCACCAGAATACTGACCACCATTAACTTTTTGTTGTTTTCTAACCTTCCTACCTTAACGAAGGTAAATCATCACCCAATTTTAAGATGAAAATGTGTTTAGTTTTTTGAATGTTGCATCGTTTTCGAAAAATAGGGTATTAAAGAACTTTTCAACAAAATCCTGATCGTTGGATAGATAGTGGTGTGCCTCACCTTTTAACTCTGCACCTGACATGTAGTGTCGAAAATGCTCAGTAGCTTCCTATAAGTTTTTTCTATAGTATTTAAATATTTAGACGATAACAATTGTTGTGCGTTCAGACATCATCAATGTTGATGGCCAATAAATTGTTTCCATTTAGCTTGAATATATTTTTTTTTGTGCCAAGTCTTTACTGCATTTCACTTTGTATTTTCAGTTGGTTTAATTCTAATTCTTAATGTTTCACGCAAAATAAACTTTTAAGAAGTAGCGCATTTTATTTGATTGAAAATTGAAAAGTAGCCACCTTCATACTTTATTCTAAAGCAAAAATTTACCCCTATATTATTGTTCTACAAGTCATGGTATTTTCTTTTTAATAAAGAGATCACTGTAAAAAGCAAATGTATTAACTTTTATTGCAAAATTCAAAAATTACATTTTTACAACTAAAACAAAATGGGGTTTCTCCCCACCTATTTAAATACATGTTACATAAACCATAAACTCTCGTGTCCGGCGCAGGATTAATGAAATTGGTGCTACTCCTGAAAATTTCCAACACAATAACTTTCTTAATTGTTTGACTTTAGCATGACAAGTACATCAAGTACAACTCATGGAGATCATTTTCAGTAATTATTATTTATGTAACTTAATTATTCAGTTTGAAATTATTTATCACAATAACCATTATTTCCGTCAATTAAAAAAAAAAAACAATAGTTTCTCTACACTCTGGATTTCAAAAACGACGTAGCATTTGAAAAACCTTTATACCACATTTTCCCCTGAAAATTAGTTCTAGTTTTATCAAAAGTGTATAAAGAAAACAGGAAATATGTCTGTACCAAATTATTTTTTCTCATGACTTTTACATTAAAGGTATGCTTATAAAAAGAAGATATTTAAAGTTTCTCTAGCTCAATTACTGTCAAGCACATTAATAATTGTGGTAGTACAACACACCAAAAACAAAAATTTAAAAAGTATATGGCTTCTTTACTACGCCTGATTGGCACATTTATTAGAACGCAATCTATCTAGTCCTGTTCTTTCTTCCTCTTCATCACTAGTATATGATGACATTCCTGATACTGTTCCTCGAGATGTCGCTTGCATTAATTCTTGATCAGGAGCTTGCCTATTTTCATATAAAAGAATATTTAAGGTTTCTTCATATATTCTTGCTTCAGGACATTCAACTTTTGTATGTTTCTTATCTGTTGCATATACAATTGAGGTGCAACAAACCTCTGACACTTTCTTCCCATGTCCATAAAATACCCAACAACAAATTTCACTAGTACTAATTACATCTTTAATGAATAGTACCCTATTACTGTACCACAATGAAAGCTTGTCAAATAACTCAATATTTTTAAGAAGATTATCATCTGAAGTGCTTGTGTATGAATATTTATTATTATGTCGATTTATTAAAAGCTTAATGGCTGGTTTTGTTGTTGAACTTATCAAAAGTTCTTCTTCTTTAATTGATGTTATTAGAGGAACTTTACAGATAGGTTCAGCTTCCCTTTCTTTCTTTAAAAGAGCTTGATTACAAGCTTCAGCTAATTCAGCTATACAATAATATTTTGCTTCTGCAAGTAACTCTGCAATTTCACGACTAGTTTCAGGGAGAGAAACACTTCCATCTCTTAGGAAATTTAAAATTGTACCAAAATGTTTTCCACATCTATCAATTAGAATCCAGCCTAAAATGTACAACTTTTAATTAATAAAGATTCGTGATACTATAATAAACGAACCATCTGAATCTGATAAAACTTCCATACGTCCACTAAACATAGCTCTTAACATTGTATCATTTTTTGTCAGAGTTCCTATAGTAGTATAATGCAAACATCCACCAACATTTAGTTTTACATATTGAGAAGGACTGCCCTTTATTGTTGTTTTTCCGGACATTTTATTTGTATCAGACATTTGCCCCAACCACAAATTACAAGCAAAACGTGACTAACAAGACTCGTTGATTGTACAATGGTAACCATAGATAAGTTGCTAACGGTTGGTAGCGGTCATAGCACAGTCATATACAAGATAAAGGTGTAAGGTCTATGGGTGTAAGCATAGACATATATTAATGGACGTAGCTTAGCCGTATGTCTTTGTAATAATTTCTTGTCTCGAAAATATAACATGTGGTATTTTCGAGATAGAAAATTGAACGAGCGGTGTACGTACTAAATATTTCCGATTTTTATCGACGAGTTTAAATTTTTGATAAGTTATTCTCGCACTAAGAAAAGAATGTATTTTTTAATACGTATATGTGCTACCATTTAATCTTCTTTTGTTTAGACTATTGTAAAAAAGAACGGAATATATTATCATTATATAACTCATAATATTTATACATATGTGACAGTTTTTGATACAAAATGAATTTGTGAGATTTCGGACCTATTTGATTACTTTCGATAAAGTTCGGCAGAGCACCGCGGCCTTATTATCTTGAAAACACCAATGATAAGCATGATATAGCCAAACAATAACAACTCCTGTGCAGCGTTTATATTCTCTGAATACTTACATTTAAACAGGAGGACTGAGTCCTGTAAATCTGGCACCCTACATGAATAATGAATAATCCTGTTTATAATATTTGAATAGGTCAACTGTAACCATAGATAAGTTAACGTAAATATTTATTAATATAGTAATATCATTGAAGTGGAGGGGAACACTGGAATGAGCTCGCCATGAGCTCGCTTATGGGAAACTGTTGAGAAAGATGATCTCAAGTGTTAGACAAGGTCAGACGCTGTGGAGTGGTTATCTGTCTGCGTCGTACTAACGTAAATAGAGGTGTTATTTAGGCTGTGTTGTTAATTTTGTTAGTTTTTTAAAGTAATTAGTTGAAATGGTTAAATATTGTTGTACATATAGGTGCACAAATGAACGGAGATCCAATGGAAACATAAAATTCCATAAATAAGTATTAATCAGAGATTAAAACTATGAAATATAATTTAACCTGCATTATGCGTACATGTGTACCCGAAAATTTTAATGAAAAATAAGGGTAAATGCCTTGTTAATTATTAGTATATTAATTCTACATATATATTTATTTTAAATTTCCACTGAAAAAGTTACAGTTATGGATACAAGCATTCAAACGTACGCCAAAAAAAGCACGGCAATGTAAAATCACACACGGGTATCGCACAGCTGCCTCATTTTCACCTAACTACCGCTATTGACTTATAAGCGCCTGTGTGTGAAAGAGAGATGGTATGCCACTCCGCAGCAGTGGAGCTATTCGCACACTAGCGCTCGCAAATTTAACAGTGCGTTCCAGTATCTGTAGTCTAGTTCAATGGGTAATATAAATGCATCGACGTTTACTAATAGACATGCCTTAGCGGTCAGAATTGTGGTACAACAAAAGAAAGAGATGGAACGATGTTAACATCGACGTTTACTAATGGACATGCCTTAGCGGTCAGAATTGTGGTACAACAAAAGAAAGAGATGGAACGAAGTTTCAGACAATATCCATCTCTCTCACGATAGTGCGTAAGCGTGTCGTGAAAGAGATAGCACTAGTCCGAAACCATACGCCATCTCCCTCACTTTTCGAGCCAAGAAATTATTACGACTTACGGCTAAGGCACGTCCATTAATATATGTCTATATATAAATGTTAAAGTATCAATGGTTTTTATATTTTATGAATAGCATAGATAATAGATATACATAGGGTAATAGATGCCCGACTGGAATGCTTGTAGTTTTAATAACTATTTTTATATTTTTATTAGATCTTCTAGGAATAATATTATAACTCAGTTAACCTATGGTTAAACAATACTTTTATTTCAAACAACCGAACTACAACAAATACATTATACAGCCACCGCTTTGGCGATAGGTAAGCTTCTTCTAACTAAATTATTTTTGGTTATAACGTCGGCTTTTTGGACGCCGACTTGCACGCCGCCTGGCGCTTGCCAAGTCTTATTAATACCTATACCGTCACATGCTACAGAGCCAGTGTATTTACAGAGCACCGCAATCTGAACGGCGCCCGCCATTTTTACTCCTTGGCGCGCTAAAACCCGTAAGCGATCATACAAATACAAGTGTTTCTAATCTCATCAGATTTCGTAACAAGTGGTTAAAACTAAAGTAAATACTCGTAATACATAAATATTTGTGTAGACATTGTTGTTAGGTACTTACCTAAAACAAAATAAATAAAATATATTACTATTGGAATAATATAGGTATAGTAACTTGCAACAGAATTGAATGTAATGTTTAAAATTTTATTTACTGCATCGATACATTTACAATAAAACAAAATATTCGTAATACATAAAAATTTAAGCAAATACGTGTAAGAAGTAAGTTTACTTCTTGGAATTTAGTTTGTCCCTTAGACTAATTTATTGGTTCGCTATCACAACAGCGACACCAGACGCATTAAGTTAAGAGCAGTCGAAAATGAAATGCATGAGATAAGCCAGGGAATAGTACCTGCGAGCATACATTTTGTAAACAAACGCTTGAAGCCAGTAAGCTCAGCTAAGATCTAGTCATTTTTAGTGTGTGTGTGGTGTTTCGTGCATGTGATTTTAAAAGAAAGGACTGAATTGTGCTGAATTGTTATAGTTGTGGAAATAATCAACAATTACCGGTGAGTTTACTCACAGAGCATTTCCAGATTTACCTAAATATCAGAATTGCTAAATTCTTGCTGATTTGATTTACATTTTATTGTTTTGGCATTTTTTGCCTTATATCATTAAAGAGATTAGAATCCAAGTACCTGAGCCGTGCAACTCTCATTATGAAATGACGCTATTACGGAGTGTTTGAGCCGTTAGCGAAAATCCTTTAATTATTAATTACCTGACGGAGTGTTTGAGCCGTACAGGATGCTGTTGTGGAGTGTTTGAGCCACACAGTGTTACAATCCTTTAATTATTAATTACCTGACGGAGTGTTTGAGCCGTACAGGTTGCTGTTGTGGAGTGTTTGAGCCACACAGTGTTACAATCCTTTAATTATTAATTACCTGACGGAGTGTTTGAGCCGTACAGGTTGCTGTTGTGGAGTGTTTGAGCCACACAGCGTGTTAAATTCCTTTCACCCGTTACTTTGTTTTTACCATTGATCCCGTTGCACTGAAAGGTACCTTTTGTTGTTGTTTAGCACTCGTGGGTGACAGACACGATGTGCTCAGTAAATTGTAGTTTTACAACAGAGAAGCTTACTTTGATGAAAGTATATAAAACAAATGGCATTTAGGCGAACTGGTCGCTCATACTTTTGTTTTGTTCCAGGTATTTCGCACGTCGTGTCACCTTGTACTGAGGCATCTTCCATTTCACTATCAGTTTTAGTTTTGCTTTGTAATATAGTTCCTGTATATTGTTTTTTTTCTTTTTTTTGATAAATATATTTTACTTTAATTAATATCTTCGGCAGTCTGAAGTAATTTGTGCCACATACGGTTTTGAAATAATATAAGTAACTGAGCTGCAGTGTCGTGTCGACAAGAATTGATTTTATTGAATGGAGAAATTTTATGATGTTGTTAATATTATATTCAACGTAATGGTATTAAAATATAGATCAATCACCGAAAGAATTTTTGAAATCCATCAGTAAATGACTTAGAAATAGATTATTGAAGTTTACGTATTTTAGTACGGAACGTCTGCGGCTTCTGATTCGCGTCACACCACGAACCATTCAAGTATTAGTTTCAGAGTCGCGCTAGGGCTCTTGCTTCGTTGGTGTTTATTTAATTTGTAACTGTTGTGCTTTGACACATAAGAACTACATATTATTTGTAGGTATTTTTTTTTACTTCTGCCATCGGGTAAATAAACAAAATACTAACCGAACGGTGTTAGCTCCTACACAACAATACATTCATACGTACTCGCGAATACGTGCGGCGTCGTTTAGGTCAAATGACGTTACACTATGGTGCGCCGCGTGTAACAAAATTATTCTTGCAATCGCAACTTTAAAGTCCCATAACATTCTTATTTCTTGAGATATTTTATCCATTCTTTCAAGTGTTTGTTTTATTCTTTTAAAATTTTTATAATTTATCCATAAAAAAAATGGAAACTTCTTCATTAAATAAAAAATTAAAAGATAATTAAAATCTATTGCTGTCGAGATTTAAAGCTTATAGCTCAAGTGGCATGTGATTTATACAATACTCTATGTAATAGTAATAATTAAAAGTACAAATTTTATTTACACGTTTTTATTATTACCTAGTCGATACGTTGTAATTATAACTAGACTTTCTTAGTAGCAACTCTTACGTCAGTACTTCTGCTTCCGCATTTTATTGACAGTTGTGTATTTTCAATTAGGTAACTTGAATATTGCCTGAGCAGAAAATACAATCGTGTTCTGAAAAAGATGCTGAAAATATTGTCAAAATAGTTAAGGATGTGGGTTGTTCTAGTTTTTGGGAAATGCGAAGATTAACTTAGGATAAGAAAGAGTGGAGGCGCTTAGGACTGACGGCCTTATGATGATGAGTTACAAATTTATAAAATACTTTGTAAAAAACTAGTATGCATTAATATTGAACAGTATAAGGCTGTCAGTAACACTTACCAGAAATTGTTGCAGGACAACGGAAGCAGGGGCCCGTACGGTGACGGCGATGATCAGTGAATGTGAAATCTGTAAAAATAATAAAAATTATAGTTACAAATGTACAAAATACTTTCTACAAAAGTAGCAAAGTATCCCTAAATATTGAACAGTAGTAAAGGTGTTCAGCAAGACTTACCGGAATCTGTGGCAAAACAACTGAAGGAGGGGCTTGTAAAGGGACGGCCATGGTCGATGATTGTGAAACCTGTAAAAATAATAAAAATTATAGTTACAAATGTACAAAATACTTTGTAGAAAAATAGCAAAGTATGCATAAATATTGAATAGTAGTAACGCTGTTCAGCAATGCTTACCTGAATCTGAGGCAAGACAACTGAAGGAGGGGCTCGTAGGGGAGCGGCGATGGTCGGTGCCTGTGAAAGCTGTAAAAATAATGAAAATTATAGAAAAATAGCGCAGCATGAAAATATGTAGTAAAGAAGACATGAGTAGATAGGCTATGACAGTTCGGCCTCAAAATCCCATGTATTTTCTTATGAAGGTTCAATTTCGTCCTTTTTCGACCGTTTTACCCCTTCCACTCTACTCTGACGTCAGGGCCATCAACCATTTTTGACATCTGTCATTGCCGGCCATCTTTGACAGCTGTCATTTTCAGCCAGGGTTTCGCTCTGCTACTATCGTCTGCGACTTTGAATTTTCCGTTATCTTCGCTGCAGTTTGTCCTCTCACCACCAGATCTCTCGCCGCCTTGTTGCGACATTTTTTTTTTCTGAAAAAAAACTGTGAACAGAGTTCTGGTTCGATCCAAGGCAAAACAGCTTTAATGCTGCTAGACCGACGTGTTAACCAACCGACTAAACATAGAGTCTTCAGTGCAACGGTAACATAAAAGTAAATATTGCACACCGTTGATGTATTTACGCTAACAATACGCCGCGCGTGCGAATGTTTGCGTGTATATGTGTGTGTCTGTGTGCGTGTGTGTGTGTGTTTGTTTGTAAAGTGTGCGTGCGTCTGTGTGAGAGCATCCTAAGCGACCTTGATCGAATTATAAGTACAATTGGCGGCTATCTGCTATGTATGTATGTACCAGTATGTGTATGCATGTGTACCATGAGAGTAGTTATAATTAAAGAAGCTTTTGTTTTTCGTTTACCTCATTGCTAATGAATGTAATTAATAATATTTATTGACCTTGAATGTTACATAATAAAAATTTATCGTTTAATGTGCAGTGAGCATGTGTTGGTGAAACGCAGTATTTACACACTAACGTAGATAGACACATGCAATGCTTTATTCATATGTGTAAGCGTATAGATATTCGTATTAAGTAACGGAATCTATAAAGAAGAGACGAATAATTCATTTGCTTTTATTAAATAAGTGTTTGATATACAACGGATGGTTGACTAAACAGGTGACTTATTATTATTACCATATATGATTAGAACAGCGAAAATAAATTAACATTACTCATATACACCTGGTATTTACCTATGTACATCAAATTTGCTTTACCTATACCAAAAATTAACTTNTACTTATATTAAATACTATTTTATTGTTCAATTTAATAAATTGACGCAAGTGAACGAATTCACCGATAACTAGATAATGTAATCGTATGCCTGTATGTTTCAATGTCGAAGTACAGTGAATACTACTTATAATGAACGCGAGCAGAAAGATAAAATATTACTTTAACCATTATTATTCGTTACAGTTGAAATTGCAGTTTCTATACCTACATGAAGTGTGTTTCCACTTTGTCAGAGATTATTATTTTAAACGAAATGTTTATAATTGTAATACGAAGTATGACTGATAAAACCAAATTATTCAAAACTTAATAAACGATTTTTACTAGAAGTTGACCAAGTGCTTCTCTTTTGTTTTGTTAGGTTAGGTTAGGTTACAAGTGCTTCTCTTTTGTTTTGCTTTTAAAGATTATTGATAAAATTATTATACGAGGGTGGATTGATAAGTTTCCGGCCTAACCAAGAGATGACGCCACTAGGCCTACCTTGAGGNAGGAGTGTATCCAAACATTAATTGGCTAGGTGTCTTTCCCGTGGATTTATTTGCAACATTGTTTATTGCAAATTGTACGGTTCGTACTTGCTCATCCTAGAGTTCTTCTTCTGGAACGGAAGGTAAGAGCGCGGCGAGAATAGTCCTGTTTAGGCGCTCTACTTGCCCGTTTGCTCGTGGTGTAGCCACCGCGTTTATAACATGTCGGACGTTATTCTGTCGGCAAAATCGCTTGAACCGTTTTGAAGTGAAAGAACTGCCTTGATCGGATATTAATGTTTGAGGGACTCCGTATGTGGCGAAAATATCCTTAAAGTAGTCTATCACGTATTTCGACCGAGTGTTTCTGGCAGCTCTTAAAAAGGAAAACTTGGTGAAGGCATCAATTCCAACTATGATGTAGCAATTTCCCCTCTTTGACCTTGGAAAAGGACCGAGATGATCCACATGGAACACGGATAAGGGCTCCTTGCCTTTAGGAATTGGGTGTAAGAATCCTTCTTTCTTCCCGGAATTCCTTTTGTTGTATAAGCAAGGTATACAGCAGGATATATACCGTTCTACGTAGTTTCGCATCTGCGGGAACCAGTAATTTTCGCAAAGTCTTCTGAGAGTTTTGTCTGCCCCAAAGTGGCCAAAATCATCGTGGGCAGCTTTAAGAACGCGGTGTCTCATTCCATTTGGAACCACCCATTGTATACCTTTGACAGTGATACGGTACACGCGATCATCTCGTAGGCAGTAATTTTTGTAGATGTTCCTTTCGTATTCTGTCTCCGGAGGTTTGGATAGTATGCTGCGAATGTCTTTTATCTTTTCATCAGTTAACTGAGCGGAGAGTACCCAGTCTGCTTCCTCAATGCGGAGCACTTGCCCTCTTTCTTGACGAACGGTCGGTTTTGAGTCGCAAGGGTTGCGGCTAAGGGCATCTACGTGCTTCATTCTGTCCCCTGGCCTATACTGTACTTCAAATGTATATTCTTGAAGTCCCAGCCACCACCGTGCTATTCTAGGCATGATGTTCTTCTTTTTGCTAGTAGCTTTTATGGCGTTGCAATCCGTAACCACAGTAAATGTTATTCCCAGCAAGTAGATTCTAAATTTCTTTAGGCTCTCCACCACAGCAAGAGTCTCCAGTTCATAGGAATGGTACTTCTGTTCTGTCTCAGATGTCTGTCTGCTATAGTAGGCAATGGGGTGTAGGCGGTTATCCGTGTGTCGTTGGAGTAATATACCGGCAAGTCCTATTTGGCTGGCGTCGGTATGTACTTCAGTAATCGCTTCTGGATCAAACAATGTTAATATTGGTCTTGAAACAAGTGTCGACTGTAGTTGTTCAAATGCTGCGTCTTCCGATTCGGTCCATTGCCACGACACGGCCTTCTTTGTAAGTCTGGTCAATGGCTTTGCAATTACTGCGTACTTTTCTACAAAGTGTCGAAAGTAACCAGTCAGTCCGAGGAATTGTCTAACGTTGTGTACGCTGGACGGCGTTGGAAAATCAGCCACTGCCCGAATCTTATCAGCACCTGGTCTTACTGTGCCTTGCTGGATTTCAAATCCCAAATAATTAATCGAAGTCTGCAAGAATGAACATTTCTTTACGTTCAAAGTTAGGCCTTCACAGCGAAAAATTTCCAAAGACTCTTTAAGTCTGTCTAAGGCTTCGTTTATAGTTCTGGCATACAAGAGGACGTCATCTAGGTAAAACGCGGCGTTCGCGCGAATGGGTTTTAAGATTTTAGTCATTAGACGCTGGAATACTCTAGGTGCATTAGTTAGTCCAAATGGCACTCTGTTGAACTCATACTGGCCTTCTGGTGTTACGAACGCAGTGAACCTTTTGGAACTTTCTTGTAGTGGAATTTGGTAATATCCAGATTTGAGATCAAGACTGATGAAATAATTTCCGGAGTGCAGCTTGTCTATCTGATCGTCGATTCTTGGTAGCGGTTGATTCTCTTTTATAGTCATGGAATTGAGCTTCCTATAATCGATACACAACCTTTGCTCTCCATTTTTCTTCTTCACTAGTAGGACAGGAGAAGAAAACTCAGACTCCGATTCTCGCACGATATTACTTTCCATCAGTTCATCGACAATACCTTTTACTACATCCTGTTCCGATCTGGACATTCTGTATGGACGGTAACAGAAAGGCTTATCATCTTGAAGACTAATCTTCATATTAGCTGTTTTTGAACACCCAAGCTCCGCAGTTGTCATTGCAAAACATCCTCTGTACTCGTTGAGTAGGTCATAGAGTCTCTTTTTGTCTTCGCTGGGTACTGGACCAATTTGTATATCTTCTAGTAGTAACGGTGCCAGTTCTGCTTCTTTGATTGTTAATAGTTTCTCCATTTGTTTTTCTTCTCTTCTACAGTTTACCCCTCTTGCAAAGGTGGTACCCTTGGCAAGCCTTAGCTCTTGATCGGCTAAGTTTATTACCGGGAGAATTGAGGCTTTACTGTCGCTTAAGGTTATTACAGTACGTGGTATACAATATTCGTGACCCTCGAAGCTTCGGATGCTGGTTTCAATAAACACATCACCTTCATAATTAGTACTGTAGACCTTAACATGTCCCCAGCGATCAGGTAGGATAGTTGGTGTTTCTGCTATTCTAAGGATAATTTTTGATGTCAACTCCGGCTCTATATTACTTATATCTAAATTATCGCTACGATTAAAAAAATGTCAAAGCAACATCGTCCTTAACAACTAAGATATTGGGTAGTTCGGTGAAATTTCGCCCTATTAGGATTGGTACTTCTTGAACAGAGTTCGGTACTACATGTGCTGTAATTCTTTATTCCACTTTATCCACCGTGATGTTAAAGCAAACCGTTCCCGAAGTAAGTGTACAAGCATTACCATAGCCCTGTAGCATGGTTTCCTGCGTTGAATTGTAGTTTAATTTTAATGGCTCCATATCTCGAAGTCGAACAGTTGAGCATGAACTACCTAAATCTATGTAAGCTAAAGTCGAAATCCCATTGACGAGGATATCCTTATAATATTTTTGATTTGACTTTTCCGTTAGAAGTCACAACTGCTTCACGGACTTTTGCTTGAGAAAACATTTCTCCACAGTATGCCCACTGCGTTTACAGTAGTCGCATTTCACACTTTCCCTTGCCTGTGACTTAACTGGACACTCGTGTGCAAAATGACCAGCTTCTTTGCACTTGTAACAAACACCTTTCTGGGATGGAGATGGTCGGTATTTTCCCTTCCACGGGCGATGATTCTTCTTCACTGACAAATGATTGACCTTAACCGTCGGAGGCAGATTATTTAGCGTACTCAAGTAACCAAACAGCGAGTCTGGTGTTTGGTGATTCCCCGCAGAGGCTCCGGTTTTAACCACTACGTCACCAATTCCTCCAATGACGCAGGACACTGCATCGGCGTCGAAAATTCGACACCTGTTGAGAAGAGCGAGTTTTTCATAATAATATTTAGTATAAGTTTCGTCGGATCTTTTCCTTCGATTCATCATTCACCAGAGATCAGCATTATAATCCTGACGAGAAGGAAAAGCGGTCTGCAACTTTTCTCTCCATTGTTCCCAACTGAACTTCAAACTAGGTAAACTTTTATACCATACATTAGCCAAGCCCTTCAGTTTAGAGGTTGCGAAATAAATAGTTATCTCCTCAGGCCACCTATAGACTTCCCGTAGTTCATCAACCTTTTGCAACCATTGTAAAACAGTTTGATTTTTATTGTCGGGGTCGAAGTCAGGTATAACGTCGCCCTCTCGGTTTTCTAGTAATGCCTTCATAATAGCGGTCAACCGTTCAATGGAATCGTCACTGTTGGATACCGAA